TTTTTTAAAAAGACCTGCTGCACACGTACGGAATCTTTTTTTTGCAGAATCCCTGAAATATATAACTAAGTTTCTATAACATAATATTCTTCAAAGGAAATCAAAGTCTATTACCAATGTACTACTGATAACCAAACAAGTAAAATTGAGTCTTCAAAAGAATAAGAGTTTGCCAGTCTTTTCAAAACAGATAAAGTAAGCCCACTGCCTACAAACACAATTTCTTACTATGTTGTTCCTTTACATATCTGATTTACCTAATATTTACTTAATTTATTTAACTTAATAAAAGGCAGATGGAGAAAACGTCACAAGAAATCAATGTCAATTAAGTACAGAGCAGATACAATATTAAAAATCACTACAGAGTTTTTAACAACACATTTATTCCAAATTACTAAAGCAAATTTATCAAAAATGAATTTTCCATATAAATGAAATATAAAGGCACTTTGAACACCAAAATTTAACCATAGGGATGGGTAAAATTTTGAAAACAAATTTTTATAGAATATAATTAAAATAATTGCCTTATCTTGAGGATCCTGAGAATATTATGAGAAAAGCTTCACTCTACTATAATATTATGTTGCCCTTAAGTGTTATTGAAATACTAAGAACTATTTTTCCCTAATACTTAATGGTTCTAGATAGGTGTGATTTTTTACCCATGTATCAACAATTAATAAATATTAGCCCTAGCCATGCTAATTTGCTTCTTTGAATATGTTATATTTTAGAAAATTAGGGAGCTCTCTTCTCATTAGAACTGTGTATAAAATAAGAATAAATAAACTGGGTACAGCATGTGTCTGTAATCCCAACAACCTGGGAGGCTGAGGTAGGAGGCCTGTATGAGCCCAGGAGTTAGAGACCAGCCTGGGCAACATAACAAGATCCGCCCCCCCCTTTAATAAAAGAAGAAATAGAAAAAAAGTAAGGATTTTAAAGGCTCATCTATGAATATATTATTAAGTTTCACTGCATATATAAAGGATGTTTAATGTCACTATAAATTCTAGTGGTTTAAATTTAAATATTTAATTAGACAGTGAGTTACACAGTAGTTGACATGTGAGGTATCTAGTGTACATTAACCCGTGACCATTCTGTCCTGCTCAAAATTGTGATAAACTACAACAGCAGAAGTGAAATCTATGGTACTAAAGAAATGATCTCCAATCTTCTCAAGGTCTACCTGGCTGGATTCTAATTCTCATTTTATACATCAGAAATACCTGGGGAGGATATTTTTTTTTTTAGACCAAACATCTCTGCCCTACCCCTAATAAAATTTTGGCAATCTCACTTTAGGGAGACATGCCCACCTCTTCCTTGAGAATCAGAGCCATATTTATTCATATTTAGCTCCACTCTCTTAGAAAGAGAAAAAATTTTTGAGAATCCCTGTAGGTCCTACTCCAAAATTTGAGGAGCAGAAATATAACACCTCCCACATTCACATGATGAGGAATCACTGAGATCTGAGAAGCAAAGGCATGCTGAAGAGATGTGAGAAAGTCTAATTGGAAGTATATATTAAGAATACACATATTAAGAAGTACACGGTGCCACAGAGGCTTTATATAGGGGTATATGGCCAATGGAAAAGTATAGCTTAGATACACTGATGCATAATCTCAGCTGTCAGTGTAACCTAATGAATAACATACTATGAGACCACTGAGCCCAGCAGAAATTAATGTACCCAGAAACATGTGCAAAAGGTAAGGACAAGAATTACTATATCATACCTTTTCTAAAAAGATGAGGACTAAAAGAAATTAAAATGAGACTCACAGTTTTTTTGACTAGCCATTCAGTAGTAGAAGGCAGAAAATGAATGGTCAATTATAGAGAGAAATGAAAGATGGAAGAGTAACAGCAACAAATAAAGCAAAAACATGGCATATTAGTAAGTGAGTAGAAGGTGCTTAAAGAGCCTTTACAGCCAGCAAGTGTCCAAAGACATTACTTTCCCCAAAACAGAGAACTAGCCCAATAAGAGCAAGCATGAAAACCAACAAGGCAACTCAAAAGCAAACTAGAATCAAGATTATAAGATTATCTCTAGCTACCTAAGGCCACAGACTTTGTATAAGGAGAAACTAGTGATAAAACAAGAATAAATATATATTACACGCAATATAACCTGCACACTGAACCTCTCTACGCAGGTCACTTAAAATGTTGTTTCTATTTACTGCATCCAATTCCTTGGTTTTTAAAGTCAAGAATTAAAGAACCACTCAAGGTGGGATTGACATAGAAATTTCCGAAACCAAGTAAACTGAATCATATATCTTATTAAAATGGGTTTAACAGCCCCAACCATGTAACTTATTATGATGGGTTTCAACCACTTTAGTTAAGAGTTCCTGATTATAAGTTACAGATATGTGCTACGCAATGATTCCTCACCAGGAAACTTCCCCAATTTTGGTCTTTCTAGTAAACTAGGTTTTGTATACATCCTCGTTGACATTTGTTGTTCTTTTTCTTTCCTCAGTCCTTTTTTTCCCCCTCCCTTACTTTTACTTCTTGTCTCTCAGGTGTGTTCTCAGTAGCTTAAATGAAGAAACTAGTGAGATATTACTTGTTTCCTTTAACAATGCCATGGTCTTGAATAAAGTCACGTTTCAGTTAAGATACTTAATAAAATATAAAGCCACAGTAGTTGTACTGATATTTATAGAACAACTGTGCTCATTTATCTCAGATCCAGCCTATAAAGCCATTCCACAAATTTTTAACATTATCATAATTAGATCAATGTTCTCATTGATTTTAAGAAATAATTTTTGTTTAGAAAAGTTTCTAAAGCACTGTATCAAGAGTACCATTCTTAAGCAATGTGTCTAAAATATACTACTAATCAAAGCTCTATGCATACTTATGATAAATACAAATGAAATCAAACTAAGTTATCAATGAAGAATGCAGAAAATTTTAAATGAAAATTGAAAATGCAAAAAAATCCAAAAATTTCATGTTCTCGATATTCAAAATTCAAACAAAAGAAGTTCCCTTTTGACTTGAAGAAGACAAAAAACAAAAAAATACATCTTCTGAGTACATCATTAGCTAAATTCTGAATCATACCTTGCATATAGAGACTGGTATTACTGCAATCTAAAAAAGTTTAAAAAATATTTAGTGGTTTACAAAAGAAAATTGCAAGGCACGTTTATTTAGTATGCTTCAAGAAGTACTTTTATCCAAAGAGAGAAATACTAAAGCTAATCAGCATAATAAATGTGTACACTCAACTTACTGGTAACATCGATTTTAGTCCTGAACGGAGAAATTCATTCCTTAAATGTATTCGGAAATCAAGCTCATAAGGAGAAGTGACAAGGGCATTTATAAACTGCATGCAGGCCACCTGCAATTAGAAAGCAAATTTTTTTAAAAACACATTTAAATTAACAAAACATTTACTTAATGCATTCAGATAATGCATTCATTAAAGGCATACATATATTATAAAACAATAAGAAATACAAATATTTCTTCAAGTACAATGATGATTATGACTTTAAATTATAAACAACAAAATAAACAATAAAGTTTCTGATAACCAAAATAATTCTAACAAGCATGTGATGGATGGTCAAGTATGTTATGCTTTGCTACAACAATAAGAAGGAATATCAAACACCCTGAGAGAAACCCGAAGTTCCAAAAGTGTGCATATAGAGCCCTTTGAAAAGATCATGAAATTTATCTTTCATATACAGCTGTCCTCAGAGTGCACTTGGTCTCAATTCTACGTGGTTATAAACACTTTTCTAAAATAAATAAAGTTGTAAAAGTACTCTAATATTAAACAAGGAACAGTGATAACTTAGAGAAATTATTACATTGATTTACTCTCTCTCCATCCTCTTATTGTGATGATTTGCACAAAATATATAGAGTATTAAAGTACATAATTAAGATGGATTAACTTACTAGGTATGAAAAAAATTAATGCAAGTGAATTAAGATCAACTAGAAGGCACTGTGACACTAATGTGCATTGCATGATAAAGCATATGTAAGGATTTGTTTTCAAATAAAGTGTTTCACTAAATATACTGACACTGGCAAATGAGTTTAGCTTTTCATACCTTCTGATTTTGAGGTTCCCTATTATAAGAGGGGACACATTTTCTCATAATTTTAAGCTAGAAGGGAATCAACAAAATAGTAATTGTCAGGTGTTCCATACATTATTCCTGGATAGCATTTTTGGAAAATGGTGCTCAAATAGAAGGCAACTGGCTAATAGTTTAATTAAAGAGCTGCACATTTAAATTGATTATTTTAGAAAGTATGGAATGAGTAGTGGAAAGTTCAAAGAGCTATCAGCAAGGGAAGTCCTTGAAAACACCAGATATGGTAAACATATTAAGTATATACAGAAGCAGACACAAATAAATCAATAGTTAGTATAGGAAGATCACATCACCAAAATAAAAATATTTCAAATGCTATTTGACTTGACTTCTCCAGACCTATTATGATAGAGTTATTTTTTTCAAGATAGGGATAAAAGATTACAAGGTATGTTTTACTTTTGTATGTGTATCTTATACATTTAAGCTGCTTTGGGGGAGATTAGCCCATCTATCTCACATCCACAGTAAAAAATCGAAGTTGCATGTTTTAAAAGGGATGATTGAGGTTGTTGCCAACATTACTAGCTATCTAAATGATAACTGAACAATGTAGTCCAATTATTACAATGCTCAAATATCAAGATAAAACACTTAGACAACTGCCTAATATTTGCCAAAGACTTTGCTTCACCTTAAAAGACATACCAGATTAGTTATTACGAAGCTTATGCCTTAATAGATTACTTAACCTTCCTATTTACAATAGAAAATCATGTAAGTCTTTATACAGTTTCAATAGGCTGGGCTATAAATCTGCATACTGTACATGTCCATAGCTATATTATCATTGTATTTGCTTGAATGATTCTTGTTATGTTACAACTGTGACATGACCAAACAAGCCAAAGTACATGTCCAATCCAAAGTTAATAGAGAGAAAAGTTGCCATCTGCTAGGATTGTTTTTGCCAGAAGAAATTCTAGCTTAACAGCTTGTATTAATACCATACAAGTGAAGAGAACATTTCCATAAGAAACAAGTTAATGAGTCTTGCAATTGTACCTTTACGCAAATAAAAGTATTTAGATCAGGAGATAATAACAGTCAATAAAATTAATTAATGTATCAACATCAAAATAACTTTATATTTAATAAATTTGCAAAT